CTCATCTTATCATTGACACTTGATGATGTGTGAAACAGAGTTACTAAACGCCTACCCTTTCCACACAATCTAGCAATATCTGATGCTTCAAGAGATTTCTTCACCACTAAATTTATGCGATGGCCATAGCATCCAAAACGGGGCCATTTCAAAATTTCGAAGGCTTTCTTCTCGTTAGCAGCATTGTCGGTAGTAGCCACTGTTTCTGGCAAACACCACTCATTCTTTATTTCCTCAAGTGATTTTGCAAGTTTTTCTGAGGTGTGAGAACCTTCCATTTTTTTTGTACTTAAAACTGCTGACTTCATGTTCCAAGTTTTGTCAATGTAATGAATGGTGGTTGTTTGATAGCTCTCTGTGCTAGTACTCGTCCATCCATCATGTGTTATGCCAACCCCATCACAAGACCGAATATCTTTTTTTATTTTTTCTTGAATGTCTAATTTCTTAGCTTGAAGTGTAGACATGAGTTTTTTTCTATTGGGTAACTTGTATCTGAAATAATAAAACAGTTTTTTTCGTTTCAGTTTGAAATGTTTCTTCTCAGGGTGCTTGAATACATTCTAAGATTATTCTTAATTCTAAATACAAACTGTACTGAAAATTATCATTGGATGTTACATTCCACCAAGTTTATAAAAGTCAAGTCAATGAACTTTCCTTAACATGAAACATGGAATGTGTTTATTGGCAGACTATTGTGCTGTTTTAATTTACATAATATCATAATTATGTGCTGTTGGGTCTGACTAAAGAGAACAATTTAGGTTCAACTTCACCATGACTGTATATACCTTGGATCCTATTCTTTTAAGAAAGTGATAAAATGTTCATTTTCAACTAGGCTGGGAGGCATCACTTTCCCAATGATTAGTTTATAAAGTGCGTTGTCTATCCTTTCTCTTCGTTCTTGGCTCAAAAAAGTAGATCCTGTGACAATATCACTTCGTTTTGTAAATGCTAACAAAATTGTTGGCTGGACTAACTTTGTATCAGCTTTGGCGGTGTGTGATTGTGTCGATTTTTCAGATGGCAACCTGTGTTCACCATCAATATGCGCTCTGAAATTTGTAGTGTTTCCTGAAAATGACAGAAGCAAAAGCATAAAGTTATTACTTTATAAGTATGTGTGGCAAGCGTTCTGCTACAATTGAGTTTACAAATGAAACGTATATTCTACGTCAGAGTACGTCAGCTTACCCGTGTTTCTGTATATCTTCCGACACAGACGACAAACGGCTTGGCTTGTATTAAGATTCTGGCGTGTAGGTGGTTCATCATGTTTAATTTTGTAAAATCCAAAAAATGTCCATACATCCGATTTAGTTTTGGACCCTGTATTCGGATAGATTTCCTTGAGCTGTTCCTCCGCAGCCGCCATCTTTGCCCATGATACTTCGAGTTGCGTCCCCTGGCGCGCGCGCTCGGTTACATATTATGAGGTTCGTTTGTTTCGGTACCTTACCCGATGATCGATTGTTGATGTTTACCATCGATCATCGGCATCGAGTTGCTATAAACGATCGCTAATCGATCCTTGCCGACCATCGTCCCAACACTACCTGTAGCTTTATTTTAGATCACTTTTAAGGTTACAAGTGTGAGATTTATACCAGGTGAGCGATGCAGGCCCATTGGGCCTCTTGTTAATTATGTATCCTAAAAAACCCTGTATATAACTGAAAACACTTCAATAAATCTCATATGTTATTGCATCATCGGTCTTTCACGTGCATAAAACCGTACCCACACACGAAAACTTTGTTATTGACTCCTAGTCTTCGTCGTGTAGATGCTTTACTAGCAAAACACGTGCAAAATTTGACACTCCCAGGTGTGTAGTCAACAATGTGAAATTTGATAATTGGACTGTTCTCATTGAAATAATTGAAATAAGTATTATTTTCACACAGATGTTATTACTAGTTGGATATCTAAAAGGTTGGCATTATTGTTATTCGTATGTTTCTTTCTTTCAGGGCCGTTTGTTTTGGGGGGAAGAGGGTGGGGGGAGGGAATGTTAGTTCAAAATCGTGAAAGTGTTCTATTTATATTAGTACTTGTTACCAAGAAAGTAAATTCTAAAATGTCCGTGCTTCTTTAAATACGACAGGCGGAAGAGATTGTCATTGGATCTCAAAACCAGATTTATTGTTTTTATTTCAATTGAAAGCGTTTTTTCTTGCACTGTCAGCTTTAACATAGGTACAGTCTTTGAGAGAGGACTAAAATGACTTGTAAAATTCTATTGAATGTCTGTTGGGCAAAACGTGAGCATACAAGACACGTTTATTCAAGTGTAGGTAAGGCTGCAATGTCTACATGAACAATTACTCAGTGTTGTGTTACATTTTGTAGCCATGCCATTTGCCTTCTGTACCAGAGAGAAGCATCCCTGGTGTGACTTTGCAGAATCAGCAGAAAATGGGGCCACAACCAAACTATTACAGGAGGTAACACAATTATCAGCTTTGCTTTTCATATTTAGCTTGGCACATAAGTACATTTTCACATTTAAAATTAGCTTAGTTTAAACTTAAGACTGTGACCATAGGCCAATTTCAGTTACCTTGCCCCAGCCAAGTAAAAGTATTAATATTGTTATTGCATTTTGAAATTTTCGTCGTTGATAATAATTATTAAAGAAAGACCTATTTTAACTAGCATATGTGTAAACCAGAAATGTCAGCTCTTTGAAGTTAATATTGTGATAAACATATAAATTAACATAAAACATAACATCACACACATCAGAAGATAATTACAGATAACTCATTCATAAAATAGATTCATGAAAAAAAAATGAAAAAAAAGAGAAGATGATATCCCAGGTTTCTAATTGATTAATTAGTTAACTAGTTAGTTAATCAACTAGTTGAAAGTATAATGAAAATAGAGTTCTGATGAAAATGAAATCCAAATAAAACAAAGCAGCATGGAGCATATATAAAAATAAGTTGCTCGAGAACACTGGTATATTACACAAGTACTTGTATTTAAAGTCTATCAAGTGGAATATTTATACAATATAGCAAAGACTAACATTTACTGTACGTACACTAATATAGAAATATAGAAAACGGTATAAAATGTTAGGTAGGTGGAGCCTCCAAGGCGTGGATCAGCCTCCCCCTGAAGTTTACCTCTGGTTTTACATGTGTAGGCTGAACCTTACCACCTTTACTGTTCATTGGTTGTGTTCTGGTATTCTGTCCTATTCTGTCCACAGCTTGCCAAAAAGTACAACATGGTGATCGTGTCTCCTATCCTGGAGAGAGATGAGACGCATGGAGATATTCTGGCCAACACAGCAGGTAGATATATGAAGGTTATGTTTGTTTTGAGTAATACATTTAAGTTCCCTTTCACAGTTTATTTTCTCCTATTGTTACATGTTTTCTACATTACCCATTGTAACTGTTCCAAATCTGTCAATACTAAGTCATTGTGAAAAGGCTTCCTTACACCATAACTTAAGTCAATCCTTTTTGACCCTTGACCTCTTATAAAAATGTTATGCTTTACTAGAAATAGGGCACAAGTAAATATTACAACTAATCAAAAACGAAAAAGGTGTTATGGTAAATAATCTGCAATAAGTGCAGGAAGCTAACATATAATCTCTTGCTCAAAGTAGTGGGTTTGGCTTTTAGCAGGCCACTAAAATATCATTGTTTGCATTTCTACTGAACTGCAATAGATAAGTGTAAAATTATTACCGGACATCAGCTTATTGCTGGATGAATATATTTATCCTTCGCGGCTCCCTGTATTTTTCAGTGGTGATATCTAACACTGGTCAGGTACTTGGTAAATCCAGGAAGAACCATATCCCCAGAGTTGGTGACTTCAATGAGGTAAGTATTTCACAGCCTGTGCTGTAGGAAACTGTGGAACCTGTTTAATTTTTTCAGCAAAAAGAAATTGTTTGAAATAGCATTGCCTGTTAAGGATGTACTATTCTGAGGTTTCCATCACATTCAAGTCTCGTTTTGATCTCGTGTAAGGGGTTTCATAATATTTAACAAATTATGATCAATTTTAATGACCAATTCCGCGACCATTTTGAAAATGTTTATTTCTTGCGCTTCACAAAAGGCCAAAATGTCACCTTTTTGACATTAGATTGATCACTTAAATCGTCATTGTGTTGGCATTTTTATTGTAGCAAATTCATTATTGCTGTACAACTTTATAATGTTCAGTAAAGCAATGAAGTGGAAACTATACATTTTTGATAAAAAAAAATACATCATGTAACTGAAGCACTTTTGATTTTTGACCTCAAAATGATGAAAAATAACACAAATAATAATGGGACAAAAAATGAAGCACGTGGAGTATCATGGAATATCATGGAATGTCATGGTTTAATGGTTGTTTTAGAAAGAAAAACCTATTTTCTTTTGATCCATTATATATTTTAAAAAGTTTAATGGCAGAACTTTTTATATCAAGTGTTAAATCTGCAAAAAATGGTGAAAAATGAGTATTTTGTCATAAAAAAATAAGGGGTAGGGGTAGTTTAAATTACATCCTTTACAAAATACCTGTGCAAAAAAAATATACTACATAGTTTTAGGGGTTTTAGTCACCCCAGGGGGAACCCCAGCGGGGACTATTAATTTCGGTTTAAGTCCAAGATTTTGACATCTGTTTCCGACCACTGTTAAGGGCTTTCATGTGTTTGCTTCTGTCGCTATTTACAAGCTCTTGGATAACTCAGATATCGATTTTCCTTGAAAAAGGAATAGATCTAACATACAACCTAAAGGCGTTCCGAATTTCAAACTGAAGATGGTCAGCATATGAACCAGGCACCTTTGAGGTTCCCAAAGGGGTAGACTGTTATATTATATGTTGCTATTGATTGATTTAGATATTTCATGTCTGACCAACGACTACATTGGTAAAATTTCTTTTTAAACCAATAGAAATTTTGTAATAAGATGTTCAGGTAGAAAAGCTCAATAACGTCTCTTTTTCTTTATCATCATTTCACGCCAAGGCTCGCGCTTGTAGTCGCCGCTGGCTCCAATGGCGAAAGTAAAACATGTTTGGCAATTTGAAACTACTCTTGGCGAAAATGTTGATGGGGGGCTTTATTTAAGTTTTAGAATTTTTGTAGTGATAACTGTTTCTAGAGCAATTGTTACAGGTAAATTAAGCCCCATGACATCACTGTGTACCAGATGTCACGGCTGAATGCATTTTCGATGAATGGCAAGGTCAGGTATTGGAACTCTTTTGTGTTTTGACAAAATGGTCACCTCATCTCAACACGACTCCGTCTGTAATCAAAACGTCAATTATCAAATTATGGCTACATTGTCTAGTTCTGAGGGGTGCTTTGTGGAGAACAATAGGTTAAGTTAGGGTCTGGAAAAGGGTTGTTTTAATTGGATTAGCGTAGATAAATCTCGTGAAGTGAGGCGAGGCAATAACTAGACACGGGTGTGTTTTTACATTGGATGCAGCTGAGATATTTTTAATGACTTTCTTTTGTAGTTGCCAGGGCACTTCAAATGGCATGTATACAACTTGAATTGTGTCAATCTTGCACTCTGATCGAGACGACAAATTTCTAATATTTTTAGCTCACCTGGTCCGAAGGACCAAGGTGAGCTTATGCCATACCGCAGCGTCCGTCGTCCGTCGTTCGTTGTCCTGCGTCCTGCGTCCGTCGTCCGTCAACTTTACACTACTAGTCATGAACCACTGAGCGGATTTTAACAAAATTTGGTGTGAAGCATCCTTGGGTGAAGAAGAACCAATTTTGTATAAATGGTGGGTCTGGCCCCCGCGGGGCTCAATAGGGGAAATATAGCAAATTCTTTAAAATCATTCTTCTTCTGTAGGAATGGAAGGATTTGTTCCATATTTGGTCTGAAGCATCCTTGGGTAAAAGGGAACAAATTTTGTATAAACTATGGGTCTGGCTCACCAAGGGCCTGAGGGGCGGGGCCCAATAGGGGAAACATGGCAAATTATTCTTTAAAATCCTTCTTCTTCTGTAGGAATGAAAGGATTTGGTCCACATTTGGTCAGAAGCATCCTTGGGCAAAGGGGAACAAAGATTGTATAAATGGTGGGTCTGGCCTCCCTGGGGGCTTAGGGGCGGGGCCGAATAGGGGAAATATAGCAAACTCTTTAAAATCCTTCTTCTTCTGTAGGAATGAAAGGATTTGTTCTATATTTGGTCTGAAGCATTCTTGGGTGAAGTGGAACCAATTTTGTATAAATGGTGTGTCTGGCCCCCCTGTAGGCAGAGAGGTGGGGCTNCGGGGCCCAATAGGGAAAATAGAGGTAAAACCTTTAAAATCCTTTTCTGACCATCGGGATAAAGGGATTTTATCCTTATTTAGTGTGGAGCATCCTTGGGTGACGGTGACTCAATTTTATATAATTGGTGGGTATGACCCCCATAGGGGCATAGGGGTGGGGCTCTGTTTGAAGTTTGTTCTCTATATCTCAAGTACTGGATGGATCTTTCTGAAATTTCATATGTACTAACAGCACCTACCATGGAGTGCTATATCTTTACTTCATACCGATTACTTTAATTATATTCAGGTGAGCGATACAGGCCCTCTGGGCCTCTTGTTTCTTGTATGTAAATATATTGACATTTTTACCAACAAATGATTTTTACTGAGAATTATCAACTGATGATATGGAGATAAATAACGACCAATACAATACCAGTAAAACATAGTGATGGGGATGTCTTTTTTTTCCCCATTTTCACAGATGAAATATCTCATCCTGGCACTTTGGCCTGTTTGAATGTGGAATGCCTTGAAATTGGGATGCAGAAGGCCAGGGAATGTCACAGAAATTTAAAAAAAATGAAATTATTTGCAGTATTTGGGTTTTATGGTCATAAAACATTGAACATTTTCTTCAAGTAAATCAACCACATGCTTTCTTATTATATCCATGTGTTCGCATGGTTACCTAAACAGCTTGAATGCATATACACCTGGTCATTGCGCTGGTCATTGTTACACCATTTTGATTGACTGGTGGAAATCTGTCAGTTGTAGCTTGGTCAATGATTTATTATACTGAAAATAATCATACAGGAGATGGGGTGACTTTCATGGCATTTTGACATATTTCTAAATATTGCCTAGTTTTACATACAGACTGCTTCCCCAAGTAAAAAATGTTTTAGGAATAACTTTCTAATTTCAGTAAAAATCTCATATTTCTAATAGAATAAATTCTATTCACAATTCTATCTACAATTCATGTAGGAACAGTATGCTAGTATGATCTTAAGTTTAGTTTTCAATCTGTTGAGCATTGATGTATAACATGATATTAACCTTGCTTTCTTTATGCTTGTTTGACCTGGCTTCAGTCGACTTACTACTTGGAGGGAGACACAGGTCACAAGGTGTTCCAGACACAGTTTGGTAAGTTGTAGGTTCAGTAGAAAATATAAACTTTATTTATTTAACAACAATTATGAAACAAGTTTTTACAACTTATACCAATCACTCTTTGTTGGCCTGGATGTTAGTGCGTGGGGAGTCTTACTGTAAGAATAGTTAGAAACCTAGAGAAAACCCACATGGTCAGGAAGATAACCCCATACCTTATCACGTCCAATCAAGGAATCAAAGCCTGGCCACCCTGGTGAAAGGCATGTGGACTATCCACTGCACCAAATGACCACTGTTTGGTAGTGGTAAGTTGTACATGTATGTTTTGTAGTGGTAAGTTGTACACGTCTGTTGGGTATTGGTAAGTTGTACATGTCTGTTGTGTAGTGGTAAGTTGTACATGTATGTTGGGTAGTGGTAAGTTGTAAACATCTGTTGGGTAGTGGTAAGTTGTACATGACTGTTGGGTAGTGGTAAGTTGTACATGTATGTTGGGTAATGGTAAGTTGTACATGTTTATATGGTAGTGGTAAGTTGTACATGTTTATACGGTAGTGGTAAACATCTGTTGGGTAGTGGTAAGTTGTACATGTCTGTTGGGTAGAGGTAAGTTGTACACGTCTGTTGTTGGGTAGTGGTAAGTTGTACAGGTCTGTTGGGTAGTGGTAAGTTGTACATGTATGTTGTGTAGTGGTAAGTTGTACATGTCTGTTGGGTAGTAGTAAGTTGTACATGTATGTTGGGTAGTGGTAATTATATATAAGTTGTACGTGTATGTTGGGTAGTGGTAAGTTGTACATGTACGTTGGGTAGTGGTAAGTTGTACATGTATGTTGGATAGTGGTAAGTTGTACATGTCTGTTGGGTGGTGGTAATTATATATAAGTTGTACATGGATGTTGGGTCGTGGTAAGTTGTACATGTATGTTGGGGAGTGGTAAGTTGTACATGTATGTGTTGTGTAGTGGTAAGTTGAACATGTTTGTTTGGTAGTGGTAAGTTGTAAATGTATGTTGGGTAGTGGTAAATTGTACATGTATGTTGGGTAGTGGTCAGTTGTACATGTATGTTGGGTAGTGGTAAGTTGTACAGGTATGTTGGATAGTGGTAAGTTGTACATGTCTGTTGGGTGGTGGTAATTATATATAAGTTATACATGGATGTTGGGTCGTGGTAAGTTGTACATGTATGTTGGGTAGTGGTGAGTTGTACATGTATGGTGGGTAGTGGTAATTTATACATGTTTGTACGGTAGTGGTAAGTTGTACATGTCTTCTGTGTAGTGGTAAGTTGTACATGTATGTTGGGTAGTGGCAAGTTGTACATGTATGTTGGGAAGTGGTAAGTTGTACACGTCTGTTTGGTAGTGGTAAGTTGGACATGTATGTTGGGAAGTGGTAAATTTTACATGTCTGTTGGGTAGTGGTAATTATATATAAGTTGTACATGTCTGTTGGGTAGTGGTAATTTATACATGTTTGTACGGTAGTGGTAATGGGTACATGTCTGTTGTGTAGTGGTAAGTTTTACCTGTATGTTGGGTAGTGGTAAGTTGTACATGTATGTTGTGTAGTGGCAAGTTGTACATGTATGTTTGGTAGTGGTAAGTTGTACATGTATGCTGGGTAGTGGTAAGTTGTACATGTCTGTTGGGTAGTGGTAAGTTCTACACGTCTGTTGTTGGGTAGTGGTAAGTTGTACACGTCTGTTGTTGGGTAGTGGGAAGTTGTACAGGTCTGTTGGGTAGTGGTAAGTTGTACATGAATGTTGTGTAGTGGTAAGTTGTACATGTCTGTTGTGTAGTGGTAAGTTGTACATGTATGTTTGGTAGTGGTAATTTATACATGTTTGTATGGTAGTGGTAAGTTGTACATGTCTGTTGTGTAGTGGTAAGTTTTACCTGTATGTTGGGTAGTGGTAAGTTGTACATGTACGTTGGGTAGTGGTAAGTTGTACATGTATGTTGGATAGTGGTAAGTTGTACATGTCTGTTGGGTGGTGGTAATTATATATAAGTTATACATGGATGTTGGGTCGTGGTAAGTTGTACATGTATGTTGGGGAGTGGTAAGTTGTACATGTCTGTTGGGTAGTGGCAATTATATATAAGATGTACATGTATGTTGTGTAGTGGTAAGTTGTACATGTATGTTGGATAGTGGTAAGTTGTACATGTCTGTTGGGTGGTGGTAATTATATATAAGTTGTACATGGATGTTGGGTAGTGGTAAATTGTACATGTATGTTGGGTAGTGGTCAGTTGTACATGTCTGTTGGGTAGTGGTAATTATATATAAGTTGCACATGTATGTTGGGTAGTGGTAAGTTGTACAGGTATGTTGGATAGTGGTAAGTTGTACATGTCTGTTGGGTGGTGGTAATTATATATAAGTTGTACATGGATGTTGGGTAGTGGTAAATTGTACATGTATGTTGGATAGTGGTAAGTTGTACATGTCTGTTGGGTGGTGGTAATTATATATAAGTTATACATGGATGTTGGGTCGTGGTAAGTTGTACATGTATGTTGGGTAGTGGTGAGTTGTACATGTATGGTGGGTAGTGGTAATTTATACATGTTTGTACGGTAGTGGTAAGTTGTACATGTCTTCTGTGTAGTGGTAAGTTGTACATGTATGTTGGATAGTGGTAAGTTGTACATGTCTGTTGGGTGGTGGTAATTATATATAAGTTGTACATGGATGTTGGGTAGTGGTAAATTGTACATGTATGTTGGATAGTGGTAAGTTGTACATGTCTGTTGGGTGGTGGTAATTATATATAAGTTGTACATGGATGTTGGGTAGTGGTAAATTGTACATGTATGTTGGATAGTGGTAAGTTGTACATGTCTGTTGGGTGGTGGTAATTATATATAAGTTGTACATGGATGTTGGGGAGTGGTAAATTGTACATGTATGTTGGGTAGTGGTCAGTTGTACATGTATGTTGGGTAGTGGTAAATTGTACATGTATGTTGGATAGTGGTAAGTTGTACATGTCTGTTGGGTGGTGGTAATTATATATAAGTTATACATGGATGTTGGGTCGTGGTAAGTTGTACATGTATGTTGGGTAGTGGCAAGTTGTACATGTATGTTGGGAAGTGGTAAGTTGTACACGTCTGTTTGGTAGTGGTAAGTTGGACATGTATGTTGGGAAGTGGTAAATTTTACATGTCTGTTGGTTTGTGGTAATTATATATAAGTTGTACATGTATGTTGGGTAGTGGTAATTTATACATGTTTATACGGTAGTGGTAAGTTGTACACATTTGTTTGGTAGTGGTAAGTTGTACATGTCTGTTTGGTAGTGGTAATTATATATAAGTTGTGCATGTATGTTGGGTAGTGGTAAGTTGTACACGTCTGTTGGGTAGTGGTAAGTTGTACATGTATGTTGGGTAGTGGTAAGTTGTACACATCTGTTTGGTAGTGGTAAGTTGTACATGTATGTTGGGTAATGGTAAGTTGTACACGTCTGTTGTGTAGTGGTAGGTTGTACATGTATGATGGGTAGTGGTAGTTTATACATGTTTGTACGGTAGTGGTAAGTTGTACATGTATGTTGGGTAGTGGTGAGTTGTACATGTATGTTGGGTAGTGGTAAGTTGTACATGTCTGTTGGGTAGTGGTAATTATATATAAGTTGTACATGTATGTTGGGTAGTGGTGAGTTGTACATGTATGTTGGGTAGTGGCAAGTTGTACATGTCTGTGGTGTAGTGGTAAGTTGTACATGTACGTTGGGTAGTGGTAAGTTTTACATGTCTGTTGGGTAGTGGTAAGTTGTACACGTCTGTTGGGTTGTGGTAAGTTGTACATGTCTGTTGGGTAGTGGTAATTATATACAAGTTGTGCATGTATGTTGGGTAGTGGTAAGTTGTACACATCTGTTTGGTAGTGGTAAGTTGTACGTGTATGTTGGGTAATGGTAAGTTGTACACGTCTGTTGTGTAGTGGTAGGTTGTACATGTATGATGGGTAGTGGTAGTTTATACATGTTTGGGTAGTGGTAAGTTGTACATGTCTGTTGGGTAGTGGTAATTATATACAAGTTGTGCATGTATGTTGGGTAGTGGTAAGTTGTACACATCTATTGTGTAGTGGTAAGTTGTACATGTATGGTTGGTAGTGGTAATTTATGCATGTTTGTACGGTAGTGGTAAGTTGTACATGTATGTTGTGTAGTGGGAAGTTGTACATGTATGTTGGGTAGTGGTAAGTTGTACATGTCTGTTGGGTAGTGGTAATTATATACAAGTTGTGCATGTATGTTGGGTAGTGGTAAGTTGTACACATCTATTGGGTAGTGGTAAGTTGTACATGTATGGTTGGTAGTGGTAATTTATGCATGTTTGTACGGTAGTGGTAAGTTGTACATGTCTGTTGTGTAGTGGTAAGTTGTACATGTATGTTGGGAAGTGGTAAGTTGTACATGTATGTTGGGTAGTGGCAAGTTGTACATGTATGTTGGGAAGTGGTAAGTTGTACATGTATGTTGGGTAGTGGTGAGTTGTACATGTATGTTGGGTAGTGGCAAGTTGTACATGTATGTTGGGAAGTGGTAAGTTGTACATGTATGTTGGGTAGTGGTGAGTTGTACATGTATGTTGGGTAGTGGCAAGTTGTACATGTATGTTGGGTAGTGGTAAGTTGTACATGTCTGTGGTGTAGTGGTAAGTTGTACATGTACGTTGGGTAGTGGTAAGTTTTACATGTCTGTTGGGTAGTGGTAAGTTGTACACGTCTGTTGTTGGGTAGTGGTAAGTTGTACACATCTGTTGGGTAGTGGTAAGTTGTACATGTATGTTGTGTAGTGGTATGTTTTACATGTATGTTGGGTAGTGGTAAGTTGTACATGTCTGTTGGGTAGTGGTAAGTTGTACACGTCTGTTGAGTAGTGGTAAGTTGTACATGTATGTTGGGTAGTGGTAAGTTGTACACGTCTGTTGGGTAGTGGTAAGTTGGACGGGGCCCAATAAGGGATATAGAGGAATAGCTTTCATATCCATTTTTAGCTCACCTGGCCCGAAGGGCCATGTGAGCTTATCCCATGGTGCAGCGTCCGGCGTCCGGCGTCCGGCTTCCGTCGTTCGGCGTCCGTCAACTTTTTAGGTCACCTGAGCTTTAGCTCAAGTGACCTATTGCTATCTGTTTTCGTCCGTCGTCGTCCGTCGTCCGTCGTCCGTCGTCCGTCGGCCGTTAACATTTTACATTTCAAACTTAAAGTCAAGTTCTGCTGGGCCGATTGAACTGAAAGTTGGTAGGAATGATCGCCTCATGGTCCTGACAAAGTGTTGTTATTTTT